GCCCACACCCACACCATGTCAAACTTAATTTTTTACATTTTCCTTTTAACAGGAACAAAGAATTGCCTGGGAAAAATGCTTTATATCTTTACATTATCTTGAAAGTCAATTTGAAATGGCTTAGCAATAGTTTCATCAGTACATGTACTACTCGAGACAATACTGTTACAATTGGGGAAGTCGAAGACTGAAATTACTATTCCCTTTAAATGATTATTTTTGCCCATTTGATCAAACATATTTCGTTACTTCGGTTCAATTTGAGAAATCAAATCAATTTCATTATTTCGATTAGTATTCAAAGTTTTTGGCCATTTTAATAAAATGAACTTGATTAATTATGCTTGGTTTTTTCAGTTGAATTTACATGAAGTATTTTTTATAAAAATCAATACATGTGTCCATTTTATAAGTAGAAATTTCGTTTTCATTCATTTTTGAATTTTCGGAGCAGTGCCAGTAATTGTGAGATTCCTGTGTATCAGAACTGACATATCAGTACGTGGACTAGGGTGTAGTTGTTCAATATTACGCTTGTTCCATAAGGAAAAGATTATATGATCTTTGAAATAGATAAATTAAGTAATTAGATTTTTCTTCTAGTCTCGTATAGGACTGGGGTAGTTTGATTGGTTTACAATTGGTTGGTACAAATGGAATAGGAAGTCGTTTTGCACGGGTTGTCGCTGCCAATGGTGGATTACCTACAGGTGATGAGCCCATTAGTGAAGGCTTTTTGCGGTGGCAAAATTTTGCATTGAAACAAACGAAGATGGATGTTGGTTGGATAATAAAACGTTCAGTTATACGAGAAATGAAACCAGAAGAAATTGCTGCCTATAATGCTCCATTTCTAAAGGAGAAATATCAAGCTGGTGCATTAATATTTTCCCAGTTGGTACCAGCAACACCCAATAATCCTTCATCACAATATAATCGTGACGCATGGACAAATTTTCAACTATTTTATCGACCATTTTTAACTTTATCCTCTGATTCGGATCCGGTAACAGCTGGCGCGGAAAAATTCGTACAAATGTTGATACCAGGTGCTAATGGTCAAGCGCATGCTATAATCACTCAAGCTGGTCATTTTCTACAGGAAGAGAAACCACAGGAAATTGTTGAACATCTTATTAAATTTATTAATGATAATCCATTGTCTCTCGATTCGAAACCATGGATGAAGTCTGAAGGAACGAATGCATAATACACATAGATCGTCAGCTTTTCACATGCTAAATCTTTCCCATTTTGATTATTGTGATGAATCTGTATGGTTCCTTATAATAAAGCTGCTAGCAGCTAGAGTATCTGAAGGACGTGGATGTGGGTGTGGGTATGTAGGTGGGGTGTGGGGTGTGGGTATGTAGGTGGGGTGTGGGGTGTGGGTACGGGTGTGTGAGTATGGGTGTGTGGGTGTGAATGGAAGTGGCACTCTTCTTCTAATCTTCGCACACAGGCCTCCAAACCCAGACCCCACACACTCACACCTACAGCCTTTTTCTGCTTTTGTATGATACCTTGTACAGAACAAGAAAAAATGGTTGGTTTCTGCAACAATAATCAGAAACCATCTTCGAGTGTGAGTATAGATGATGGTGTAACGAAACATGGATAGAGTATTTCATTACTACTGCAGTATTTATTTTATTGTTGATCAACATTGAGAAACTGGAGGAGTAGTATTACAACTATCCTCGGTGTGTGATGTTCACTACACTACTCCATCACTCCAGTTCTGACCATTTTACATAGAACACGAGCGTATATAGGAGAGAGGAATAAGAAGAGAGAAACAATGAATAGAGAACATTGTAAGCAACAGATACAATCGGCCACTGAGGTCATAGTGTCTAGAAGAACAGCGACCGGTTGACCTCATACGATTAAGCGAATAAAGGATGAAGATGAGACGTGCCCTAATTATTGGCACAGGTGGGTTTTCGGTGTATTCTTTCTCCATACCCACATCTTCTGCCTTATCTTTTTAAGTACGCTCGAAATTGTCTGAAACATGAATATTGATCAAAGTTTGTTCTTCTTAATCGACAAATATATTAAATCATGACTAAATCATTATTAAGGTTGCCAAATATCTTTCATATTAGAATATATTATCGATTTTAAGAGTAGCTAAGATGGTAATGCAACCATACGTTTAATTCAAGGACAAATGTTTGAAAATATACAATTTCGATAAGAAACCAGAGAAATGGACCGTAAGTGTACGCAAAATGTTAAGGATTATTCATGAAACTAAATAATCTATCGATCAGAGATATTTTTCTCCTTGCATTTGTGTATGATTAATCATTATTGCACATGTACAAAAACTTCACTACTTCGTAGATATTGATATAGTTTTAGTATTATTTATGCAAATATGACTACCTTTGCTGTGTAATGTCAAGAAGAAATAATATTATACAGAGAATCAGTCGACTAGAGATGTTTGTAAAAGAGGTGCCACTAAATCAACAAACGAGAAACTCCTCCGGTAAACAGTAATTATGAATGAAATGTAGCCTCAAAGCGTATTCTAGTTGAGTGTTGACAAGTCTCTAGAGTATTTGATATTTTTTGTTTTCTTCTTGTTTGTTGAAAGATTATAGAAACAACAGGAGTGTATAAATATACTGTGTAATATTTAGAAATTTTTAAAACCAAATTAGTGCAAACATTGGATTCTTTGTCAAACAAATTCAAATTAAGGTAAGCACTACTGTTAAGATTTGCATTGAAAAGCGGTACAGTGATACTGAATTAAGTCACATAAACATCTCTTGTTAAGATTGATAATTTAAATTAGTATAAAGTTAAAGTTGATGATGAAGTAAACCGATGCTTTCATACCTTTAAACATCTTCCTTAGTGTACATATGAAGATGGGTGATTTCATAGTACAGTTGAACTAATTTCATTCAGGTGTTTTAGACCGCCATTGCAAAAACGAATGACAAATAAAAATAATAATTGATTAGTATGAAATGCTTTTTATATGTATGTTATGAGTATAATTGAAGCACTCAGCACACAGTTTCCACAATTTCAACCGTTTTTCATCGTAAATTTTTTGTCTGCCAAATGGACAATATTAGAAGCTTTTCGAACACCATATATCACTTCCATCATTGTTTATCAGTGTTTGCGTTCTAGAGAAAACTATACGTCGAGACTTTATAGTGACTTGTTATTCGACGTTATAATTAAAAATGCATGTCATTTGAGTTTTGGACAAGAGGGCATCACATTTTCAGTGGAATGAATTAATTAAACATAAAATTATGTCTTAAAAAAGTGGTTTTAAGGTTCAAAATTAACTATCCAGGTCAAACAAGCAGAGTTGTAAACAATCGTCCACAGAAAAAAATACGCTCGTTTACGATCGTATATGGCCTCTGTATTCATTGACCTGGGTATATTCCTCAAGATGATATAGTCAAGAAGGATAAGGTTACCAAGCAGCGATAGATGTCCCAATTCAGCATCAGTACAAAATTAATAAACTGGGAATCCTGATCTTACTTAGAAATGGATTTTATTTGATGAGATTCCTCATAGAAGATGTCTGCATTGACAATCGAAAAATACTTGTAACACAAAGAATTATAATAGAAAATAAGATATTTAACAATTTTTTTCCGTTTAGAGATGTATATCATACAAACTTGTGAGAAACGTCCGTCACTCTCGTATTTTGTAGAACTATCTGCCATCTATTTTTTATTGAAGGATGCGAGTGTGAATGTGAGTGCATTTAAGTAAGATATTTGCACCCACACTTACATCTAAGGGGAAAAAGCTAATCCTGGATCCTTGGGTCTTGTGGATCCTATTGGATTCTGGTAAATTCTAATGAAATCTGATGAATGTTAGGATTAATTATTTGAAGTGTGTCAGAGTGTGGGTGAAAAAAGCTAATCCTCATGAATGTGATGATCCACTCGGGTCCAATGGAAATAAATGAAAAAACGAATTAGTGATTTCGGAATTTGGGACTGAGAAGAGAAAGAAAATGCTGACCACTCAGACGTTCATAGTTCTCAATAACTTTTGTCATATCATGATGGATTTTGCTCGTTTTTTAGCCCATCAGGATCTACCATTTGTCTATCGATTTCATACGCTTGTGTTGCTTATCAGTTTCTACTGTATTCTGGTTTTCTCTGATAGTTTCCTGTTGTGTTATATTCAGGATTCTGTTTCTAAGTTTAATAGTATTGGATTGCAAGATATCTTATTGTAAAAGAGCGATTCTTTTCAGTATCCTTTCAAGTTCCTTGTCGGACTTCTCAAATATTTAATAAAGAAATGTCCTACTAGGATTCACACTCGATCTTGCTGAAGGTCTTGACAGAAATTACACGATGGACGCCGATTAGATTTTATCAATGTTTTACTAGGGTCTATTCTGTATCTCTCCGATACGATCCTCTGAGATCTTACGACTAAATTAGGCAATATTACTTCAAGGACAAGCATTCCAGATCCTTCCTAAAGAAGGACAAGGGTCGCCAGGATCTATGTGAAAAATATCAAGGCTGAGCGAGCATCTTTACAGTTTTCATTTCAAATCTGCCGAAGGCTTGATCTTCAGGTATTCTAGCACGATTTATGACAAATGTAGTTAAAGATTTTGAAAAGAGCTATGAAATCGTTCCAGAAAATTTGTGACCAATTCTTATTTAAGATTTGTTGAATATTTTTGACTATTTGAATTCCGAAAAATCACATTGTGTATCTGAAATCAAATATTAGCAGAAAAAATCTGAAAAACCACTCCAAATTATATTATGTTTTTTTGTCTTGGCTCTAACAGGAATCAAATTTGAGAAAAATTTTAGAGGATTTTTCTTCAAACCAATTTAAGATTTGTATTCTAAATGATATGGCATTCATAGGGCGGAATTCAGTTAGGACATGAATTTTATTTTCACATACAACTAGAAAATTCATCGAAATGGATACTTGAGTATGTGATCAAGTGTTGCATTAACTTTGTCTTTACAAACACGTTTTCAGTAAGAGACGAGTCCTCTACTAAAACTCTCGTTGGATTCAATTTATTTGTATTGAGAAAAAATCAGAAAAATACTGTTATATTTAAAATGAAATCAACAAATCGCTGTCAAATTTCAAAGTAAATAATCAATATATTAAGTTTAACATTAAATTTTTCGACTTTTTCTCGGAATAATTTAAGTTTACGTGAAGTTCAAGTAATAGTTAAAAGTTAAAAGAGAAGAGAGGATATTGAAGGTTTAAGTTAAATTATACAACTAGGTACAGCCTACGGCGGTAAACTAATCAGACTGTGAACCCAAGATCTCGAGATCAACGTTGGATGCTCCCATTTTTGTGTACTCAAAAAGTGAGTACACTCAAGAATCGGTCCGTGTGTCCGTCCGTCCGTTTACACGATCACTTTTGAAAGGAGAGTCTGATCGTGATGAAATTTTTTACACAGTTTAGTCCTAACAATATCTCGGTCGAGTTTGAAGATGAGAATGATTGGCCCAGCCATTCATGAGTTATTGCAAAAATACTCATTTTCCCTAAGCTTCCTTATGAGATGATAGATCCTTCTCTCTTTTCGTAAACAATTTTTCCTATCATAGTCAACTAAAACCCCAACTATTATATACCATTCGATAGAAAATTTCAAGAGCTACAAAATGGGATATAAAACATAAAGAAACAAAGATGGTTGACTCACCTATCACAAAGATAATTAAAGAGAACTAGGTTATGTTTTTGCCCACGATCTAATTGATCCACGTTTAGAGCTCTATCTTCCGACCACAGTGATGACGCTTCGAGGTTTTCTGGGGTGGAGAACTCGAATCTGTACTCCACTTCCATCGAAATACTATTGGTTAATCAGTGACCAATAGAAATCAAGTTAAAGGGAAAACGACTTTCTTAGGATAAATCAAAAGAAAGAGTTCAGATTTGAGCTGTATTCGGTCCCAAGTCCTACTGGTTTGGCAATACGCAATAGAAATCCACATTTTAAATGGTAGGTTTCCCAGTATAATTTTGATGTTCACACATTCTGGGATGACTGATTCGTATGATTCACTTTTTGAAGTACACATAACTCTCGGATTTAAATCCGAAGCTTCCGCATTTATTTCTATCTTCCTCTTAGAGAACCCTGCAGAGATCTCGCCAAGACATTTGATAACATTCCTTATGAATCGTAGT